AGTTGGAAGTGGCGCTATGGCTCAAGTGGTAGGGCGCTAGCCTTGAGCTGAAGAGCTGAGGGACAGCGCCCAGGCCCAGAGTTCAAGCCCCATGACCGGACCCAAAAAGAAAAAAGTCTCATGGACTTTCTTGCCCGGGCTGGCTTTGAACTGCAATCCTCAGATCTGAGCTTCCTGGGTAGCTAGGATTACAGGCATGAACCAACAACTGAGCAACTGGTGCCCGGCTTTATGTGCTAATCCTTTTTTATTGTAACCTTAGTGCATTTGTTTGTTGTTGTTCTTTTAATGGATTCCTTAAGATTTTCTCAATCTAAGATGGTGTCATCTGTATATAGAAAGTTTTATTTCTTCCTCTTCAGTATGCATGTCTTTTACTACTCCTTGCTTGTTTAATTGTCCTGCAAGAACCTGTAGGACAAGAACTAGTGGCCAGAGCACAGGTCCTTCCTTGCCTTCCTTCTCATCTTAGGGAAAAAGTACCTTTCACCACTATGTAGTATATTTGATGTAGTGTCTTCATGTATGCCCTTTGTCAGACTGAAAAAGTTCTATTCCTAGTTTATTGAATATCTTCTTGTGAATGTGTGTTAGATTTTGACAAATGCTTTGTTGAAGATGGTCATATGATTTTTTACTTTAAATCCTGTTGTGAGCGTTACACTAATTAGTTTAGGTGTTGAACCAACCTTCCTTGAATTCCTGGTATAAAACTATCTGGTTATTGTATATAGTTCCTTTTATATGTTACTGGATTTGATTTCCTTTTTGTTTTTGTGGGATGGAGGGTTGGGATAACTTTCAAATCAAGGCTTCAAATCAGGGCTTCAAGCTTGCCCATTGAGACATGCCTCCAGCCTTTTTTTCCCTATATTTATATTTCAGAGGGTCTCATGAACTTTTGCCTGGGGTAGCCTCAGACATGATCTTCCTATCTCTTTCTCCCAAGTAGTTGGGATTACAGGCATATACTCTCATGCTCAGAGGTTTGCTACTATTTTGTTGAGGGTTTTTTCATCCATATTCATAAAAATATTATTCTAAAAAATATTATTCTGTAGTCCTTATACTGTCTTCAGTTTGGCGTGAAGGTAATCCTGACTTTATATAATTCATTGGAAGTGCTTGCTTAGGTTTTTTTGGAGAATTTGTGAAGAATTGATATTCTTGTTTCATAGGTGTTAGGGTGAAGTCATTTGGACACGGGCTTTCTTTGTCAGGTTTTGGTTTAAATTCTTACTTTAGGTATCATTCCCTTCATTTTATAGGTGAGGAAGCGGATGCGCAGAGAGGTTAAGTAATTGCTAACAGTAAGCGGTAGAGCCAGGATGTCCGTGGTCTTGTGTCAATTCCTCGGAGGATAACAGTAGTTGACATTCATTGAATGCTTAGTTTTGTGTGACTAACTATACTAGATGCGAACACATGGTAATCTCTTGCCACCATCCCATCACCGAGTGCTGACCTCACTCTCAGTTCAACTGTATGTGCATTGTCTGCCTCTAAATAGAGAATGTGACATGGAGATTCAGTGATTTGCCTAGTGAACCATGGCTAGGAAGTAAATGGCGCAGCTGTGCTCCTCACTCTCGGCAGCTGTCTGTTTCTGGAGCTTGCTCTCTTAATTGCCGTTCTCTATTGTGCGCTTGGAGGGCCTGAGACACAGCACCGCGCAGCTGAAACAGAGGAGTCACGTGTGCACAGCTGAGCCCAGATCGGGTTTGACCTTGGATGTGAATGGGCTCGCAGCGCCCTTCAAGCCTTTCTCCAGCCTGCCTGACTCAGCACAGCACTGTGGAAACACTGGCTCTTCCCATGATGCTCTGCAGCTAGCATTACTCAGTACCCTTCTGCCCAAACATGGATAGAGTGACAATAGTTGTCCCCATATATGATGGAGAAGTGACTTTCTATGACCAGACAGCCAATTTGTGTATTATCCACCAAACAGGCACAGGATGACATACATGTTTTTCTGCATATTACTAGGACATTAGATGGGGAGTTAGTTAGAGACCTTCCTGTACTCTCACATTGGAAAGTGTGAATGCTGGCCTGATCCCGGGGAAAGTAAGAGAAGCTCCTTGGGTACAGCGAGTTCTGTTCTTCAAGCTTGAGTGGGCGGGGCTGTTGGAATTGTGGGATCTAGCAGGATTGGGGAACAGCCTGAAGCCTGCAGAATCATTGGGCACAGTGACAGGATAGGCACATATGTCTGCCTCTCCTACGTGCTGCTCATTGGCTGCCCTGGGGCTGTCTGCTTCTATTGGCCACTTTGTGTGGCCTGTGGTGATGTTACACCTATCCAGACGATGCTCAGCAGAATATTGACAGCACAGACTGTGACTCTCAGCGCCATGCCTGGCCCCTCCTGGCTTTGCTGGGAAGGGAACAGCCAATCTAGTTAGGTAGCTGTGGAGGGAGGGGATCCGCTGTCCAGCGACTCTCGTCATTCAGGCTTTTAGTTAGTCGTCGGTTCATCCCTCTTCCACCCCCTCTTTAGAGGTACACACACGTTCTTTTCTTGTTGTTCTGGGGACTTTTTGTTGTTGTTCTGGGGATTTGCAGAGAACGTTGGCTCCTCCTGAGGTACTCCGCTGAGTGAATGACACTCAGCTTCAACCAGTTACACGCACACCACCTCCCAGCAGTCAGTATTTTGTTGTTATTCCTCCTCTTGCAGCCTCCTTTCCTGCTCTCTTGTCCTTTGGTGCTTATCCCTACTTGTATTCCTTTACTGGGGCTTGTTTAGGATTTCAGAAGGAATGGTGCTAAATCCCATGTATATTTCGTGTGTGGATTACCTCATATCTGTTGCCTGATTTCTATTGGGTTTTAGTTGTATGAATTTGTAAGAACTTTTTTTTTCTCTAACAATACTGAGGATTGAGTTCTCAGGGCCTCATTCTTGCTAGCTTGCCTACCACAGGCCCATCTGGACCCTGATCCTCCGTTTTTTTTGTTTTGTTTTGTTTTCTTTTTTCTTTTTGGTTGGTTATGGGCCTTGAACTCTGGGCAGGGTGCTATCCCTGAGCTCTTCAGCTCAAGCTAGTGCTCTACCACTTGAGCCACAATACCATTCCTGGCTTTCTGGTGGTTAATTGGAGATAAGAGTCTCATGGACTTTCCTGCTGGTTTTGAACTGTGACCCTCAGATTCAGTCTCCTGAGTAGTTAGGATTACAGGTATGAGCCACCCGTGCCCAGCTTGATCCTCCTACTTGTACCTCCTAAGCAGTTAGGTTGACAGTTGTGGGCTACTATGCCCAGCTCTTCATTAGTTGAGATGGGGTTTCATGAACTATTTTGTCTGGGCTGGCCTCAAACTACAGTCTTCCCCATTTCAGCCTCCAGAGTAGCTAGGATTCCAGATGTGAGCTACCACATTCAGCTAAGAACTTTCATATGAAGCATATTGACTTGTTGGCCTGCTGCAATCTTTTTTTTTTTTCTTCCATGTTAACTCAGACTACTTGGTGGAAAACTCTGGTCATGCAGGGAGATGGATCCTGAGACCAGCTGGCTCTACCTTGGCATTTGTTTGGATGTGCTTTCCTTCTGGTTCTTACCATCTCATGGAAGCTGTCTTTAACGTATACTTGAAACTCATACTGTTTCAAAAGTGAAGGAGCCTGGCCAAGTATAAGCATATTGTTCGCCATCTCCTCTAGCAAGAACTCAAAATGTATAGTTCTGGCAGTATGCTGGGAAGCTCTGGTAACATGGTAACAGCTGGGCCAGGAACACCATGGTATGGCATGCCAAAATGCCCCCAGCATTGGAGAGAGGCCATTTCTGCACGTGCCTGGGAAGGCGAGAAGGAGCCTCTGGTAAACATGAGTTCTCTCCACCTTTAGCAGTGGGCCCAGGGCCATGAGGAAGGGAATTGAAGGATGAGGATTAGCAGCAACCCACTGGTGTTCCACTTGGAAGGAGTGGACAGGTGTCGGCTCACCTCTGTTCATGGAGATTTGGTTTTCAGCTCAGTTGATGAGGTTTGACTGTGTTCCAGTTCCACTTAGGCTCCGTCCAGGCTCCTTCTACTCTATAACCATTTTGAACAGAATGTGGTAGATTGAACAGAATGTTGCAGATTGGAAAATCACAGTACAGTCTAGGAAATCTTAGCCAGGTGCAGCCTGGTGACCCAAAAGCACAAATCTGTCACTGCACCTGTCTATCTGGCCTGTGAGCAAAACCCAGGAACCTGGCCCTCTGTCACCTCTACCTGCCCTCAGATTCTCCATCTAATCCCTCCAGTATGCTACTGCTAGACTTCCTGTTATCCTAAATGTGGCTTTGATGGCCTACTTCCCACTTAAGCACTTTTTTCAAGACCTGGCTCTTGACCTACGGCAGCTATGGCTGGTTTTACTGTTCTCACTGTGTGCCACTTGGGTGTGGAGCAGTTGGAAGTAAGTTGCTCTGATTTTCATGCCTGTCTTACAAGAGAGGTTAGAAGGCTCTTGAATTGAAGACAGGATGGTTGCTTATGTCTCTTTAACTCCCCACCCTGCATAGTTGATCTGTGGGCACCCTCTGGGTAGCAGGCAAAGTTCTCAGACAGCAGACTGCTGATGTCTGGGGAAAATGCTTAAAAACTGAAAAAGCTACCTTGGCAGGCTGAGAGGAGTGGCTGGGAAGCATAACTTGTGTGGGGGCTTTCTTCAGCTTCACACGTAACGCTTCGGAGTTTTCTTATCTTTGGAAATGGGAAGAGGTTAGAGAGCATTGCCCACCAGTTCCCGCCTATCCCTGAAAGGCTAATTGTCCAGTCTTTGCTTCACTCTTTCTCGTGAAATGCAAAGTGAGCTGTTTCTGGGCTTTGGGTTGGGGATTTTTTTATTCCTTTGTAATTTTTTCCCTTTCACACTTTGCAGTTTTTTCTGGGTATGTGGAAATTTGGATTTGTGAGTTGGCCACTTTTTAAGAGAGCAGACAAAATGCCATACCATTCCTCTTCAGTTTGGTGTGAAATTCTAACAGAATTCCTACTCTTCTGCAGAAACCATGCGGCGAGTGGTACGACAGAGCAAGTTCCGGCATGTATTTGGACAAGCCGTGAAGAATGACCAGTGCTATGATGACATCCGGGTTTCTCGTGTGACCTGGGATAGCTCCTTTTGTGCCGTCAATCCCAGATTTGTTGCCATCATCATAGAAGCCAGTGGGGGAGGAGCATTCCTGGTGCTCCCTTTGCACAAGGTGAGTGGTTTGACCTCTCCTCTGTTGCACGGCCTCTTGGAGTATCCGTCCATACTGATGTTGATTGACACTGCAGCTAAGACTAAGACTCTTAAGACTCTGATGTAATTGAAGTAAAGTCCCAATCACATCAGTTTTTCTCTAACAGAGAAAACATTAAATAATACACAATGACCTCTGTCCTGGGTGTGCCTTCTGGGCAAAAAGATTATTATGAGGATGTGAGCATAGGCATAAGAATTTTATGATTTGATTTGATTTGTAATCACTTTTCAAGACTTTTTTTTTTTTTTTCCTTCTGTCGGTCGTGGGCTTGAACTCAGGGCCTGACACTGTCCCTGAGCTTTTCTGCTCAATGCCGTGACTCTACCACTTTAAGCTACAGCTCCACTTCGGTTTTCTGGTGGTTAATTAGAAATAAGAGTTTCATGAGCCGGGTGCCGGTTGCTCATGCCTGTAATCATAGCTACTCAGAAGGCTGAGATCTGAGGATTACTATTCAAAGCCAGCCCAGGCAGGAAAGTCCCTGAAACTCTTATCTCCAATAAACCACCAGAAAACCGGAAGTGGCGCTGTAGCTCAAGTGGTAGAGCGTTAGCCTTCAGCTGAAGAGCTGAGGGACAGTACTTAGGCCCAGAGTTCAAGCCCCATGACCGACAAAAAAAAAAAAAAAGTTTCATAGACTTTCCCGCCTAGGCTGACTTTGAACTGTGATCCTGAGTAGCTGAGATTACAGGCATGAGTCACCAGCACATGACTTTTCACACATACTTTTCTTTTGGAGGACATGGAGGTTGATAGGTTGATTTAAACACACACACACACACACACACACACACGTCACCTGTATTAATGTTTAAGTTTAGAACTTAGCATTCACTCATTTTGCTTGCCTGACTTGCTCTACCACTAGAGCCACACCTCCCACCTCCAACCCAGCTTTTTGCTGATTAATTGTAGTCTTGTAGACTTTTCTGCTTCAGCTGCCTTTGAACTGCAATCCTCTGGACCTCAGCAGAGTACCTAGGATTACAGGTATACGCCACTGTTACCCAGCTAAAAGTCTAGTGAACATTTGTAGAATAAACTCCCCCCCTTTCTTTCTCTCGCTCAAGAGCTACTAGTGATAGAATTGAAAGCTCTTGACTAAAAGTGGGTCTTGGTGTACTTCATCCTCAGTGGGCTTCCACACCTCTTCCTACTTACTTTGCCCTCCCAGAGAAGCCAGTCTCCAGGTGGAAAAAGATAAGAATGTTGTACTTATATGGTAAAGATCAAAATCTATACCTCATTTATTAGCAAATATCAGAACTAAGGGCCGTGGGGGGTGGGGGGGCGGAGAAAAAGCTATACAGAGAGCTGAGAAACAATACTAAGAAACAATTGTTTTCCAGTTAGCTTACGGGTGGACAATGAACTTGGTGAGTCCTAAGCTCTGAGATCAGATTGGGGCTCTCTGCTGGCGTGGGTGCCTGTGTTGAGCAGGAATAGCCGTTTCCACTCTGCTCCAGACAGTGGGGAAGTAGACCTCACCCTTGTACTTGCTGCGTGCGTGTCAGGACACATCTGTCTCAGCAGAGTGGGTGGTTCTGTCAAAATTCTGCTTCACATTATATTTGATGGTTTTTTTCCCTCTTAGGAAATGTTCCAACTCTCTTGCGGTTTTCTCTCAAGCAGCTCATGACTACCTGGTTTTAGTTTAACATCTATATCTTTCTTTACTGACTGGGCTGATGTGATATTACACAGTAGTACTATTTCTCTACAGAAATAGAGAAGTTAGACACATTTGAGGGGGGACAAATTCGGTACATTTCCAAAGGTATCTTCTGATCGGTGAAGGCAAAACTTTTCATTAAACTGAGAATTCTCACAGAGGAATTCTTCATTGATTGAACTTTTCTACTTAGATATGTGTACTTTATGAAGAAAATTTCTGTGGAATGGCAAATACCAATACTAATCTATTATGTGTGTAACTTGATTTTTAGAGGGGATATTTAGATGAAATGTCAGTTGCATTAACGCCTCACAGCTGTTTAGGTATTCCTTTTCAAGAGCTAGGAGCATTAAGCAAATTGCCCTTTAAAGTATGGGTTTTAGGGTGGCCATTCGAGAAAGAGTCTTAGCCCCCCAACCCCAGTCCAGGCCTTGGAGCAGCAGCATCTACTTTGGAGTTTTTATTTTCTCCCTTTATAAGTGGACGGATAAATTTAAGACATTCTTTCCTTCAGAGAAATAGAACAAGCCAATTAATAAGCCTAAAATAGACATTTGAATGGGTAATTCTACCAAGTTCAGACAGTTCCCTCAGCTTCCACATCCACAAAAGGCTCTGTGAGTCTGACTTTGGCTTCTGTAAACCATGAGAAACTGAGTTTCACTTGCACCATTGAGGGAGACACAAATGCAGTCCCGGAACTAACTTGCTCCTAGGATATGGTTTTCATCTGCATTAATGGCGTACACTTAATAAATATTAGTATTCTTTCAGTCTTTAACCAGACTTACCAGAATTCACATAGAATACATTGCTTCAAAATTGTCATATTTGGGTTAAATATTAGGTGTCTTTCTTTTCCAGGCTATACTGCTGTCTCTGTAGTTTTGCTCCTTAAATATTAATTTGGTTTGGAGGAGGTGACATTAAAGTAAGCCTGTGACAGTCCTTAGAAATAAGGATAGGGCCTGGTGTAGATTAACTTTTATCATTGACAGGCTCAAAAGAGTCTGTGTGTGTGTGTGTGTGTGTGAGAGAGAGAGAGAGAGAGAGAGAGAAGGAGAGGGAGAGGGAGAGGGAGAGGGAGAAAGAGAGAAGAAGGAGAGAGAGAAGGAGGGAGAGAATGGGCTATATGTGGCCAACTGTGCTTGTCCTTACTGTCAGTATGGCATGGAGATGGAGGAATATATGTGGTCTGGGAAGTCCAGTCCTAGTGGTTAGCTCTTCTGGTTCTTTCTGTAATGAAGAGCTGTATAGAAAAGGCATTTTCTGTCCAGATAATCTCAGGTTTGCTTGTCTCCCACCACGGGTCTCACTGTACTTTTTTTGCTTAGGGCTAGTGCTCTACAACTTGAGCCACAGCTCCACTTCCTTTTTTTTTTTTTTTTTTTCGGTCATGGGGCCTGAACTCCAGGCCTGGGCACTGTCCTTCAGATCTTCAGCTCAAGGCTAGCACTCTACCAATTGAGCCACAGTGCCACTTGCGGCTTTTTCTGTTTATGTGGGGCTGAGGAATTGAACCCAGGGCCTCATGCATGCAAGGCAAGCACTCCACCACTGAGCCACCTTCCTAGCGCCCACTTCCATATTTTTATGGCAATTAATCAGAGATAAGAGTCTCATGGACTTTTCTGCCTGGGCTGGCTTTGAACTGCATTTCTCAGATCTCAGCCTCCAGAGTAGCTAGGGTTACAGGCATGGGTTACCAGAGCCTAGCGAAACACATCATTTTTTTTTTCTTAATAAGTTTTTTATTGTGAAAATACTGTACAGAGGGGTTACAGTTATATGAGCCAGGTACTAAGTACATTTTTTATCAAGCATTGTTGCCTCCTCCTTTGTTTTTCCCCTACCATCCCTTCCCTCCCACTTCCAAAACTACCCCCCCTCCCCTCCCTCAAATTGTAAAGTTTGTTTTTCAACATAGTGTCTTGTACATCTCATTGTTACAATGGGTCAACCTGTATCCCTATTTAAACATTTTGTTTTTTCCCTTCCCCTCCCCAAATTATACCGACATCAAATACAGTGAAAACGGGTTATACTGTGGGGGAGAAAATACATCATCTCTTAATTCACAGGTAGAACTGGATTATAAAATAAAACTTGTCTAATGAAAGTAAGTAAAAAAAGGAGAAATGTTGCTTTAAGTGTATTAGATTACAGTGCATGTTGGTAGCAGAGTGAACTGTGAGAACTGAGTATGTGGGATTTTTTTCTTTGGCTTTTTTTTTTTTTTTTGATGTTGATACTAGGGCTTGAACTCAGGGCCAGGGTGCTGTCCCTAGTGTTTTGCTCAACACCGGTCCTTTACCACTTGAGCCTCAGCCACAGCTTGATTTTCAGCTTTTTAGCGATTAATTGAAGATAAGAGTCACATAGATTTTTTTTTTCTGCCTAGGCTGGCTTTGATCTATGATCCTTGGATCTCAGCCTCCTAAATAGCTAGTATTACAGGCACTCAGCACCTGAGTATGGTTTTCAATAACTATCTCAGGGGCTTCCAATGAGGTTGTTTTTTGTTTTTTTTCTTCTGGTTACTGGCAGGCAGATCGTTTTGGTCATTGTTTTGGGGGTCTTTGTACACATAAATATTGTCTCTTGGGCAGATCACATCCCTTTCAGAAAAGTCTCACATTTAATAACATGGCCTTGTATGGATTTCACTTGAAAACCAGTTGGTTCAGCTGCAAATAGTAAATGAAATCTCACATAGCTTATGGCTACATTCTGGGCTAGTATAAAATAAGCTAGACATCGTTTCTGTCTTCCAGGACTTAAAAATCTATAAAGAATTGGAAAAAAGCAATGGGGACAAACACATGAGAACACACACATAGGCACACATGCCAGAAGCATGCTAAAGTGTGCCTGTGTATTTCATGTGTATGGTTTATGAGACTTTAGTAGAGAGAGTGGATAGTAAGATGTCACTGGTTAAGGAATAAATGTCAAGTACTCAACACTGAGGCCCACGTGATCAGCACTCTTTTGTAATGCTTCTGTCAAGCTGTGGCAAGCCATTCTGCCAGACTTCCAGGTGTGGCTTGGTACATTTTCCTTTCTTCAGTCTTTCAGAGGGCAAATAATAAATAGCAGTCTTGTTGAACACAAGTTGGCTTTGTGGTTGTGGCCAAATGGATAGTACTTTTTTTTTTTTTTTGCCACCATTGCATAAGCTGCTTTGTCTCAAGAGCACACAGCTTTCAATCCCCCATGTTGTCTACCACGTTGGCAAGAACAAACTTTTCCTTTGTGGGCTAGGCTCCCTCTGATGTGA